TCCTACAGGGATGACTTATATACTCAAACTCAAAGTAAACATGTAACATCAGTAGAGTTACTCATATATAAGTGACATATTGGTCTGTTTACATGGCATTTTTTGACAGTACACTTTACATGAACTGACTGAATAATCACTTTTCTGTTTATATTGCATGAGAATGTGTTTGTGACTCAGTTACAAGCCTATGTACTGCATATACTGTATAGATGAAATCCCTATTGGTGACACGTTAGCAGCCTGAATGCATACCCTTTGATAGGGAAGTATTCCACTGCACGGACAACAGCTTTGAAAGGAAGTATTGGGCATTGTATTGATATCTGCAAATTTTGGATTTTTTTCATAACAATAACCTGACGTGTACAAGTCATGTGATTATCCTAGAGGTGTTTTGATCAAAGGTTTTACCTAGAGCGGCTTGTTTCTCATAAAACAGTCACTATTCAGCATTCTTGACTATGTTGCAATTTTTGGAGATTTATGGGGATTATACCTCCTGGCAAGCATGTCAGTAAAAAAATCTGAAACACCAGAGTTTATATAAAGCTGAACTCCAGCTGGTCTTGGAAAAAGCCCATCAGCTGGGACTTACCTACAGATGGGGCTTTCCTCTGGCTGTCGCTTTTCGGAAAGGGTCTGCTAGCCTACACCTTGAGAACACCGGCGGATCTGCATGACATCTTTGCCTTCATGGAGACTGACCCGATCCAGGTGCCCGATTGGCTCCAATCTCTTTCTTGAAAATCGGGACATTTGAGCATGGGCTGTCCATGGATGGGACTGTCGCCTAGGCCTCTTAGACCACGATGACGCTCCAGGATGCCCGCCATGGAGGGCTCATGAGAATCCTGACTCCTGGGGACTTGAAGTCATGAGGTTACTTTTCTTAATCTTGTCGATACCCCGGGGGAACCCTTTCCCTCTATAATGACTGCTAACCTTTCTGATCTACACATGGACCTAGTGTTCTCAACACCTTACTTTCCTGGACACCTTGTCAAACCTCAGAGAAGGACTTTGTGCCTTAAAGTTTTCTTTATGTCTTGTGCAGTGCAAGATACATGAACAGTGCTCTTTGTCTTTATTGTCACCTCAAGGGAGCCCTCTCTGATTATCACTTCCTATATTACCCTTGGGAGGTGAATGTTGTTAACCATGCCAGGCTCCCTTCTAACCCGTAGTGAAGGACTTTAAATGGTGCAGACATGTGTCACGGATGGCCTTATATTTGAATAAGAGAGCTTAGTTCCTCAATGTTTTTATCTCCCAGGAGTTAATCCTGGGGGATACACTTTCTGTACTACTTTCCATTAATGAACCATATGAGGTGTTTCTTTAATGATGGAGGCTGTGTGCTCTGGGCTCTGTCCTTTTATGGATTCATGCTGCACTTTGGTCTCCTGCTGACCTTGTAGGTGGTTGGTAGTGCTATTCTCTGGGAGTGCTAGTGGAGCCTGGGTCCCCGGGAGTTCCATACTTGCACCCCTGGTTGACATTATCTATGCTCGTGATGGGACCTTCAGGTTCCCCATCACTCTGGTTTACTGCCTCCAGGGACATGTGTATGCATGTTTTTCTTGGTTCATCCTCCCCTTTTGGGTGAGACTTTGGTCCTGTCCGAATTGTGGAGGACACTGCTGGGGCTCAGGGGATATAACTGGCAGTTATCTCTGTTGTGCCCAAGTAGGCAAGTTTATTTAACGCTTTATAGAGTTATAAGTTACTATTGCTATATTTGTTTTTAAAGGCTGGTGTCACTTCATGCTGTTGTATATATGAATTGTATGATGTGTCAGCTAGCCTAGGTTGAAGATGCTGGGAGCTCTCCCCCTCTGGCTTTATCCAACTACCTCCCCCCATTATTTGGGTGTGTCCTGTCACTTTAAATTCTCTATCCACCCTTTTTTCTTTTCTTTTCTCTCTCCTTCCCTACTTTCTTTCTATCTTTGCTTTTCTCCATCCTCAGTTTTCTGTTCTTCCCTCTCTTCAGTTCCCGCACTCTCTTGTTGTTCATTTTTTTTTTCCTTCTTTCTTTCTGGTCCAAGGGGATGGATACTCTCTGCATTGTTTCCCTTAATGTTAAGACCCTTAATTTCCCTGAAAAAAGGCATGTCTCCATTGCTTACGAGCAGACATAGCTACCTTTTCCCCTTCCTCCAGAACAGATTTTACCCCCAGACTTATCACACGATTAATAATGCCACTAAATCAAAAGGCAGGTTATCTTGGACCTGTTTAGATGCCCTGGTGGATGGTAATTATTGCCTAAGGAATGATTGGTGGAGTTAAGATGACTCTGGCAACCCTATACGCTCCCAATACCCAACAAGACCTTTTCCTGCAGTCCACTCTGGCGAAACTTATGGACTTCACAGGACGGCACTTGATTTTGGGTTGTGACTTTAATGTCCCACTCGTCCCATTGGTAGATACCTTTTTGGTCTTCTCTTAACTTTCATCATGCTCTTGCAAACGTATTTCCCAACTCCTTCATACCAATCAGCTTGTAGATGCCAGGAGGTTACTCCACTCGGGTGAAAGTGCCTATACTTATTACTCAGCTCCCCACAAGATATAAATAAATATATAGTGTGGCGCTCAAAATAAATAAATATATATAAATAAGTGATCAATACATATACAAAATACCAAAATATTGACTGCTAAAATAAATAAATAATCAATAAAAATAATTGCAATAATACCTCAAGTGATCACACTCTAAAAGATTAAAGTGGCTCAAATAAATAATCAATAAATACGTGCATCAATAAATGACTCAAGTGATCACACTCTTAAATGAAACAAGTGGCTTATATAAATCACATGAGTCCGCAGTTTCCTGTGCGCGGTGACGCACTTCCGGCGTGCGACGCCATCTTGCTACACCCAGGAAGTCCCAATTCACATGCAGTGTACCCACACATCGGTGAGGAGGGAGGACTGCTGAGATATGTGAGTTTTGTTACTTTGCACTTTGAAAATAAAGGAGTCTTTAATGCTACACTTAGAGGGTGTTTTCTTCTTTGGCTCACTGGATTGGTGAGCCATTGTTCTTCAGAGGCACCTTGGCTGAATAAGAGAAATAGGAGGCCCACCAGGAAACACAAAGAAGGAAGGAAAAGTTGTTGGCCCTTTTTGATTCTAGGATCCAGGTTGATCCTACAAGCCTGTTGGCCCTTAGGGGTCGCAGGGAGGAGGTGAGGAGGAAATTTAGCCACTGTTTGGAGAAGATTTTGGCACAAATCACTTATTGAACATCACCGTATATTGCATGAATTGATTTATCACTTGAAGAACAGTATATATATATTGATCTGTAGAAGGAACGGACATTTATTTATTCTTTTGCACTATTTTTTTGGCACTTTTACACTTTTTAACAAGTTGGTACTACTTTTTTTTGGTCACTTATATGTCAATTATAAGCATGTGATTTATATAAGCCACTTGTTTCATTTAAGAGTGTGATCACTTGAGTCATTTATTGATGCACGTATTTATTGATTATTTATTTGAGACACTTTAATCTGTTAGAGTGTGATCACTTGAGGTATTATTGCAATTATTTTTATTGATTATTTATTTATTTTAGCAGTCAATATTTTGGTATTTTGTATATGTATTGATCACTTATTTATATATATTTATTTATTTTGAGCGCCACACTATATATTTATTTATGTTTGCACACTACACTAGGTATTAGTAGGAGAGTGTTGGCAGCTGTATTAGTCGTTCACCATTTTTAGCGCAAGAGGATTCTCTAGACTACTATCCCCACAAGATATACCCTCGTGTTGATTTTTTTCTGGTTCCCCACCGGCAACTTCATGCAGTGGTCGAGATTTCTATAGGAAATATTACACTATCAGATCTTGCACCAATTATCTTGAAATATTCCATTTCAGAAAACCCCTCTTCCAAGGCAGCATCTTGGGAGCTTAATGAGCGCTTACTTCAGGACCTGCTGACTTTGGCAGATGTGGTCAAGGAACTTGACGACTACTTTCCAACTAACACTATGGCTGACTGTGACCCTGGAGTGGTCTGGAAAGCACACAAGGCGGTTATCCAGGTGCTGATTAAGCATGGTGCTTGTATTAAAGGGGAACAAGAACGGATGCTTGTTCCTTTCCTAGCGGACATACAGTGGTTGGAAAATAGTCATAAACATACACCTTCACTGGCCATTGAAAGGGACCTTCTGAGTTTACGGCTCCAAGTTTCAGATTTACTTAGATACAAAGCCAAGGCGGCCATAAAGGCCGGTAAGAAACTATTCTATGAATCGGCTTCTTGCTAGATTATTGCGAGACCTCCATGCGACCATTTATGTACATCATGTGCTGCACCCCGATGGCAGTAAGGCATCCCTTCCCAAGGAAATTGCTCAGATGTTTGGAGACTTTTATGCTTCGTTATATAATTTTCAGGTAAAGACTCCAACACAGACTCAGCTTGATGACTGTTTCATGTTCGGGCATGCCTAGGCTTCCTTTGGATCTTATTTTCATATCCTTTTTTTCCTATTTTTTATTATTTTTTTAATCTGTGAAGTCTTAAAAGAAATTTGAATATAAAGATTGTATTTGTTCCATTTTGTTATGTTTTTTTACTTTGAGTTTGAGCTTTAAGACCATTGTTTATGGGATATACGTATTGCTTAGAAGGTGGGGCCATCGTCTCAAACTTTATGTTGAAGGGTCCTGTTGTGCCAGTTACAGCGACAGACCTACGCAAGGCAGAGAGGGCTATGCCCTTGAAATTAGAAGCTGGAAGTATTTTCCCTGGACTTATCCATCTAAAAAAAAACATGATTGACATGTATGTTCAAATCTTTTGCCTGAACATTATGGTAATTCTCAGGTGATACACTGTTAACAGGCATCGTATGAAAGTAATGTAACTTATCGGTACTGTTGTATTTTAAATGCATTGATAAATGCCAGTGAAATAATCATGAACATATTATCTCTTCTTTAATTGAACAGATTGCAAGGCCAGCTTTGTTTGATCAGAACGTGGTAAGCTCCATGACTGCAGACATCGATAAGGTAGACTTGTACAGTATTGGATCTCAGGCTCTTCTTAGCAGTTGTAGTGGTGCTGATTCGGACAGTGATGTCTACACAGAGCGTGAGTCCACAACCAATCTTTTCATTTTTTGCAGCAAATGAGAAGACATATATTTTAATGAAATAATTTTAATTCTACTTGTATAGTGAATTGGTATTGTAAAGTAATTATTTCAAAAATATTTCACAAAATGACTTAATTTGCTACCAAAGACTTGAATAGGTCAGAAGGTTATCCTTGGATTGCTGGACATTTTTTTTTATCTATTTTGGTCATACCATATCAACAGGTGCCTCTGTGGGGCACTAAAAATTTGAAGGTGTATAATCTCTCAAAAACTCAACAAACGCATATAACTGTTAAAATCTCATGTTTATTTTTTTAACTCAACCATAAAATCAGGATGAGTCATTAACAGGACAAAAAGTAGCATAAGTAATAAAAACATACAGTACATAACATATAATTCTAGACCCATCCACAGCATGACATAATTTACATTTATTCAGCCTGGGAGCTGCCATAGTGAAAGTTGCCCATATTAAACTATACATATATAGGGTCTGGTTACAAAATAGACAATAACATTGGCTGTGGTGGAGTTCAAAAATCTCAGTGCATTTCCAGATGGTCAGTTTGCATGGGCCATACAAAGCCTAAATAAATGTAACCAGAGCACTCCATGAGGGGCAAGGGAAGAGCATATCCAGTACCAAAACACAGTAAAAAATTATAAACACAGCAAGAAAATAACTTATAAATGCAAACTCATGGTCAGTGCACCATCCCAATACAAAGGTAATTAGGTAGAGTGGGGTTGATTTACTAAAACTGGAGAGTGCAAAATCTGGTGCAGCTCTGCATAGAAAACAATCAGCTTTCAATTTATTTGTCAACGCTTAACTGAACAAGCTGGAGTTAGAAGCTGATTGGCTACCATGCATAGCTGCACTAGATTTTGCACTCTCCTATTTTAGTAAATCAACCCCAGTGTGTTTAGGTGTAGTAATGAGTTCAGGTATCCCCCTGCACCAGTATAAACACAGCAGTGTCCCCAGCTGACTAATAAAAATATGATCCATCTATGGCCAGTTTTAGCCATGATTAAATCAAACTTCTGTAGTGCAAGCAAGGTCACACTTATTGACAGAAAATCAGGAATGGTCATACAACTAGTGGGAAGAATAGACCACAGGCAGGTAACCAGCCAGAATCCAGAACAGAAGATGTTTTGAACTGAAAATTCAACAGGATTTTTAAATTTTACCCTACAAATGATGACAGTCACTGAGAACATATTTAATTCTGTGCTATTCAATTGCACCAGGCAGAGTTTTGGTGCCTGGTAGTGTTGGAGGCATGATTCACATATTTTATATAAATTAACTATATAAAAAACATGGGACCTGCATGCTTTCCGCACTGAGGCTTGTGATGTATGACTTGGTGGGTATACAGTAGAATATGGGTTTAGGCCTAAAGGTTGGTTAATTGTTATGGGTGCAATTTTGGTGTTAATTGTTGGGGTTAAGGTTTTTCAATAAATAGAAGACCTGAGATGGGACAAAGAAGATGGAACACATTATTTACCAGCTTTAAGCCTTTTATCAGTAAATTGTTCAAGTGTTTAATCTTTTAATCTCTAACTTTTACTTAATGTCAGATGAATAGTAAAGGTTTTATATGATCTTTTTCCCAGTTGACCAGGCATATAGCCACAAAATTAACTTCCTCCACATATAGCCTGTACTACATCTCCACAAAACCTTTTTGACGGCAACAGTTGCGGTAAAGCACAATGTCCAACACCACCAGGTTTAAAAATTTAAAAAAGTACCTACCCACTGCTAGGGCATAGGCAATATGAGCTGGTTCCAGAATAGCTGAATGCTCACACACCCTTAAATCTATTGGAATGCAGATACCATACCATAAGCCTTGTGTGCTGAGTGGCTATTGTTTCAGGGAGGAGCTGTGATTTTTTAAACATTTTGTATAAAAAATTTTAATTGGCAAGATATTGTCTAACACATGTCAATAAGCAAAAAAATAATATTTAAAATTCATTTTGGAGGAGAGTAGCAATTTCAATAATGTTTAAAGTGAAATATTCAAAATACACAATTTTTTGGAGCTTCATACTCGTCGATGTCTTGAACCTGCCTGTGGTGCATCTGTATAATGTATGCAATATACTACAGCAAAAGTGATAATGTTGTGTAGTAGCTTGTTTTTTTTTGTTGTGGTTTAAAAAAAAAACATGGAGACACTCCAGAATAAATACCAGTCCCATAAGGTTTTTTTTGTTTTTTATATATAAGACAGCAGGGAAACTAACTTAAATATCTGCAAATGATATTTTTAAAATTATTTTATAAATGGTCTTTTTGCTGTAATACATCGTGCAGCAAAATTGTCAAAGAAAAAAAAATGTTGGATCTCGCTCAGATATTTTTTTTACCTAGCTCTTTATCCTTGATGAAGTTCTATTATGGATTTTAAAGGGGAAACTCAATGCAAATTTTTTTAAAAAATGGACCGTGGTCCCACCCAAAATTCAAAAGTAGACACTGTGGGGGTTATTTACTAAAACTGAAGCATACAAAATCTGGATGCAACTCTGCAGATAAACTGATCTAATTTTAGGTTTTGTTGTTAAAGCTTTATTGAACAAGCTCAAGGTAAAAGCTAATTGGTTACTATGCAGAGCTGCACCAGATTCCATGTGTTCCTGTTTATGTAAATAATCCCCTTAGAGTCTGACATGTATGCCAAACCTGTATCTGGGCATACAGGTTTTCTCCATTTTGTCTCCATGTTGATTAGAACATGGGCCTGTTACCCAGAGCACTAGCTCCATGGTTGTGGGGGTTTGCGAGTGAGGACCATATTTGAATCTGGAAGTACCCTTTCAAATAAAGGGACTCTCAGATATCTAGTTTTCCCATACCTGAATGAGTACCCATACTCATTCACAACAAAAATGTAAATAGCAACAACACACATATTTTCACAAGCCCTTAATTAAAAAAATAAAAAGTTCCATGTTGTAAATCCATCATCAATTACATCCTCCTTAATGAATGATACCAAATGCCTGCATAAACAAAAAAAGCCAAAATGTCAATGACTCTGTCATTACACCCCAAATAATGAAAGATTTTCCACTGACAATATTATTGACCATATATGGCCTTGACCAGTGACCAAATATGGACAAATATAGCTATGTCTCTATATTTGGTCAGTGATGTTTATTCAAACCTGTCTCTTTGTTTACATTCTGTCTATAACCAGGAATCTCTGGCTGACATCTGAATAGAAGGTGGTTCAATCATGGTTGTTATGACCTCACTAATTGGGAAGCATACAGCAGTAGAAACCTAACAGTGGTTTTTAACCCTTCATAACTCTTCAAAAGTTTTGTCTTTAGCTATTTGTTAAATGCATACAAACTGTTCATGTAAAGTTAATGTTCAGATAGCTTACAAATATTGAAGTCTGAATACTCTGACTACTCACTCATGTGTAGGGTTAAAGGAGAGGATTTTGCAATTCACACGATTGGTTCATTGATGATCATTTGTTTTGCTAAGTGAACACTGTCATTCATAGTAATTCAACCCTCATAGTGTATCACAAGGATAACAGAAAAGTATGTGCTTACTATAACTCACCATTACATCTTGTTCTATCTTGTTATAACCCGTATCCACTATTATTCCATATCTCTATTGATTTTCAGTTATCTGACAATTATTCCAAGTGTAATTTAGTTCCAGGACATTCACAGCAATATCATGTTGTTCTTAAATATATTGCAGTTTTTCATGAACTAAAAGACCTTTTGAAGAAAAATGCAACCGTGGAGTCCTTCATTGAGTGGTTGGATAATGTTGTGGAGCAAAGAGTTATTAAGGTAATTATTTTATTTAAAGGAAACAATAAGCAAATTTGAGCATTGTGTACAAATAATATTTAAGATAAAGAATCAACAATTTTAAGCAGAGGATTGATGTCCCATAGCTATAGCTGTATTTGGATGAAACTGAAACTTTGAGCAGGCTATGTATAATTCCTACATTTGCAAGTATTCATTTTTTTTTAAATTTGGGTAAAGTAGGGAATGGTTGAAACATCATCACGTTATTGCCATTTCCCTTCACTTCCTGTCCCATAGACACAGCAGAAAATGGAATCTCTTCAAAGTGAGGAAAATGATCTCTTAGACAGTTGTCTAAACAAGTGCCCTTCGATCTCTGTCCTGGTGACAACCTAAAATTTTTAATTTTCCATATTTTGGTCCCAATGACAGGGGGCAAGAGAAGAAATCGAAAGGGTGAATCTCTTTATTGATAACCCAAACAACAATAAACACAAACTACACCATCCAAAACAAAAAGAGGTTTTGGCTTTTGGCAAACTTTAAGGCTCCCTTTTTAATTTTTGACTGTGTTACTTTTAATTTCTTGACTCCAGAAATCATTATATTTCATTTTTTTAAAGCATCAATTTTTAACCCATATAAATGATATTTGTTATAAGAATTAACTCACTTATTTCAGTTTATATAAGTAAATCTGTAAGAAATAGTCACTATTATTTGACATATTGTTTTGCCATTGTGCATTCAATGTTACTTCATAAATAAGAGGCTTATGTTTTCTAATTTTCTGTGATGAGTAAGGAAAAGGGAAGATTTTGAGGGAGTGTGGAAATAGAGGCCTGAGTATATCTTTACCAACACCCATCTTGTTTATTACCAAGCCTTAAACTTTTTTTTTTTTGCAAGTATAGATATTTATAGACACTAAATTTACTTGTACAGTATTTATCCCATACAGTTATCAGAGTAGAATATTTGCATTTTGTATTTAACATATGAGAAGATAATCTGAACCTAATGATTTTCAGTAGGGAAGAAGTGGTTCTGTTAGAAAGAAAAGAGAAAGTATAAAAAGAAAGTTATGTAAAATAGAGGTATGATATACAGTGAAGGAAATAAGTATTTGATCCCCTGCTGAATTTGAATGTTTGCCCACTCGCAAAGAAATGATCAGTCTAAAAATCGAATGGTAGGTTCATTGTAACACTGGAGACAGAATAGCAACAAAAAATTCAAAATAAATAGAATACATTTTGGCCTAAATTTATGAAGAAAGATTATTATTTCTTTGCAAAATTTTATAGCAGAAACTAAGAATAAAGTGTTTTTTTTCAAAATTTTCAGTCTTTTTTGTCTGTATAGAAAAAATAAAAAATACAATGGTTAATAAATACCAAAATATTAAATACCAACAAAAGAAAGCTCTAGTCACGTGCAAAGAAATTATATACATTTCAATTGCATACAGTGTTGCATGCCCAAGCAATTGCCAATTAAAAGGGAAGTATGGGAATTCCTTTTTTTTCCCCAATTACTGCAGTAAAGAAATAAAGAAAAATGAACACCGTAACCCAGACTGTCATAAGAATGATATTCATGGTACAAAGCAGTTCTGAAACATGCTATTTTTTTGTAAAAAATAAAACTATACTAGTAATTTTATCACTTGTATTTATCTGTTTGATAAATGTCATATGTCTGAAGTGACTAGACTTTTCAAATAAGGATAGAGTAGACAAGGTGACATCATTTTAGTTAATGAAATAATGTCAGAGAGCATATATTTTGTGTTTGCACTTGGGGGGCTAAAAACATGCATGCATCATACATCCTAGGAGGAGTATAACAGAGTCAATGGTGAAGAAGGATCAGGGTGTTCTGGTAGATCATAGACTTAATAATAGCATGCAATGCCAAGCTGCAGATTCCAAAGAAAGCTAAATCTTTTCTTGTATTAAAAGAGGTATAGTCTCCAGAGAGAGACATCAATTGGCCCCTTCACAAAGCATTAATAAATCCTCATCTAGAATATGCAGTTCAGTTTTGGGCACCTGAGGCAATATTATCATATTATATATTATCAGCTGGTGTAGAATTATTCACTTTAAGGTAATCACAAAGGGCAAAAGACCACTCTTTATGTCTGGAGGAAAAGGGATGCCTGAAGGTAAAACAAATCTTAATGCCTGAGTGCATTTTTGTGCAACAATGGCATGTGTTAGTACAACTGTACATATCATCGTAACTACTTATTGTATCTAGGGAAATTATACCTTTTTCAGGATAAATTGGGCCTTTATTTGGTAGTAAATGTTAATGGATAAATCCTGATTTTTTTTTTATTGATATTGATATTATCAAAGGAAAACTGGCCAAAATAGTAACAAAAAATATTTTTTATTAGCTGTATATTTCTTGCCATTACCATGATTCACTGCCAAAAGACCCCCCCCCCCCCCAAAAAAAAAAAAAAGAAATCTCCTGCTTCTAACATTCGCACTACTATATTATTTGTTGCCTGCATCTGTAAATAAATAGTGCACATTTTGGTTTTCTTTTTCTATCCCATTTAAAACACACTGTCACTGACCTTTGACCCTGACACTAAACTAACTCAGGCAGTGATATAGCTATTTTATCTGTATTTATTATACATTTTTAATACGGAGACCTTTTTGTTCTCCTATGACTAGGAGAAAAATATACAGTGGGGAAAATGCAGCAGACAGAATCTAGAACTTCTATCTTCAGCTTGCTCAGTTCAGCTTTGAGAAATGAAAGATAGAAGTTGATTAGTTACTTTGCACAGCTGCTCCAGATTATGGCAGCTCTAGTTTTGCTAAACGTCCATCAATGCATGTTTTTTTTTCCATTCAGAAGGAGTAGGAGAGTACAGGGCCTGGTTTTACAAAGTACATAGCGAATCACAAGCTATTACTTGATCAACAGCAGGTCCTCCAAGCTCCCATTTATTTGTACAAGATCCAGAGCTGCCGATGACAGTTCAGTCTCTATTCTGCGAGCGTTGTATGGTGTACGCTTACAGCACAAACATTTGTATATATGCGGCACCTCGGAGGAGTGCCCACCTCCATGACACTGCATACCTTAGGTCAACATCCACATTCATAAAAGCTTCTTCCCAGTAATGTGGAATAGACTTACTCTGGAGTTAGTTCTATGTATCTCAGTTGATTGTCCTAATATAAGCTGGATGCATTCCTAAATGCACAAAGTATATACTGGCTATGAACATTTATAAGCAATAGCACCAGAGATGGTTCATCCACAAAATCACTTGAGGTGCTGCAGAACTACTATCTATATAAATATATATATATAATATATTTATATATATATATATATATATATATAATATATATATACATATACATATTTATATATATATATAAAAATATATATTGTATATCACAGATTTTCCATTTATTTATTTATTCATTCAATTCTTCTATTGATTGTCTGATGACTTGTATATTCAACCTAACTACATACATATGTATAGAATTGCTCAATTTTACTTTATTATCATTATTTTATTTTATTTTTTTTAACCAGACAAGCAAACAAAGTGGCAAGTCACTGAAGAAGAGAGCTCAGGATTTCCTGTTAAAGTGGAGTTTTTTTGGTGCCAGGGTTATGCACAATCTAACATTAAACAATGCATCTAGCTTTGGTAGGAATCACAATATATTTCTCTTTAGTCTAGATTTTTAAACTGAACTCCAGGCAACAGCTAAATATACAATTTAAAGTGATTCTAAAGGCTTCTTTGTTTTTTAAATAACAAACATGTCTATACTTACTTGCTTTGTGTAGTGGTTTTTCACAGAGCAGCCGGGATCCTCCTCTTCTTGGGTCCCCTGTCAGTGCTTCTGGCCCCTCCCTCCTGTCGGGTGTCCCCACAGCCAGAAGCTTGCTATGGGACTACCACTGGTCTGTGTGTCCATTCACACATGGAGCCACAGCTCAGCCCCACCCCCTCTTTCTTCTCATTGGCTCACTGGCTGTGATTGACAGCAGTGGGAGCCAATGGCTCCCGCTTCTGTCTCAGCCAATTAGAGGAGGGAGTCCCGGGATAGCCGAGACTCCAGTTCACATCATTGGATTGAGAGGGGGCTTAGGCAAGTATTATGGGGGATGGAGGGGATGCTGCACACAGAAGGTTTTTTACTTTCATGGATAGAATGGTAAAAAACCTTGAGCCTTCAGAACTACTTTAACTTCATGTATGTGAGAGGTTGCCAGTTTATCCAACTAGTGCTGAAATTTACACAACTTTCTTCTTCTTCAGTTTAATCATCTTTTTAAAAATAAAGTAGAAAGAAGCCCAGCCTTCAAAGACAATCATTACTACATAGCTGTCTTGCCAACAGTACCATTGGACTCTGCTGAATAATAATCTCCCATATGTCAGATCTGGCTCCCTAGTGTTCATGAACAGGTAACAGGCTGTGGAACACTCTTGACAAATCCCTCTGTTGTCTTCTCCAGCATGTTCCTTATAAGGTCACCTAAGATAGCTCACCTACCCATCTCCTAGCGCTGTCACTCCCTCTCCCATACCAAGTGCTGCTGTATAGGGGATTACAATAGGCCAATACCAAGTTAAATCAGTTACCTACATGATCTGCATATTAAAAAAAAATCTTTATATTGTTTTAATGAATACATGTAACTGCATAATTGATGTATTTTTATGTTTGCCTGAAGTTCAGTTTTAAGGAAACCTTTCTGCAAAAGCCAGTTCTCTGCCTGTCTCTGGCCTCAGTGTTTTCTGAGGCACCGGCCAGGAACAAGCATATAGTTAAGAACACAGAAAATAGCTATTTCAAATGTTGACACCAACAATGACTGCTTATGTATACTTTTGGCATAGATTTTAATATGGTAGCATTATGGTATCCTTTTGTTGAGTTCTGCTTTAATCTGTGTGTTGACAAATGCTATGTCTACAGTTTTATCCTTTCCCCTTTGAGGTAAACAGTTTGCTTGATCAATGAATGCCACAGAAACTTTTCCCCTGGTTTGGCACACTCTGTGAATGGATTTCTGCAGCAGTCAGTTGACCCCTAGCAAATTAATACAACACATGTGTGTATTTTTTCCTGGCATTATCCAAATAAAGGTTACTGTATAAAGGGGAGCCGCCATCAAGTTGTAATCTAAGAAAGAGCCCCCTCTGCATAGCATTGGAAAACCAGTTTTGGAGTTTTCTGAAAAGAACAATATAGAGTAAAATGTAAGCAGCAATTATTTTTTTTTACCTTATAATATGTTAATATGCAACATACAGTATACATGGAACAAATATAAAGAAGATGTTTTCCCAATTTGGCTTTAAAAGTGGAAACAAACTTTAAATTCTTCCAGTGGAAATGATAATAGCCTTGCTTGAATAAAAAAAGACGTAAAAACCTACACAGAAAACAATTTCTTCCAGATTAATGTGCTGTTTTGCTGGAAGTAAATAATGCCAGATAAGGTGTTAATTTGTTTCCATATGTCCATATCCTTTGACTGGACCCTACAGAGTTGGTGCTCTTTGCTGTATTTGGACAAGAGATAAAGTAAACACATATAAGTCAGCCAAGCTTATTGTGAATTACTTTATTTGCTTTTCCTTTAGTACAAGGCATGTCTTGCTTTCATCAGCATGGTCTCTGATCTAGTTTGTGTGCTTTAAGGTAGTAAATATATTGAACCATGTGCCTCATTCATCCTAAGATTAGAATTAGAAATCTAACTTTAGAAACCATCCTTTGTTGGTTTTGGTAGGTCATTTGAAGTGCATATATTGTGTATTTTTTGCCTTCACTTGTCCCCTGTAGATTGTGGTCAGATGTTCATAAAGATAGTATCAATACTTTACTCTCTCTTTTCTGTTTGTAGGTTCATTTCACTTAATACGAATGCTTCTTGATGAGTATATTCTACTTGCTGTTGAAACACAATTTAATAATGATAAAGAACAGGAACTTCAGAATCTGTTAGATAAATACATGAAGAATGCAGGTAAACAAGAATTCATTTCTATCTATCTTTCCAAATAACATGAAAATCTTTAAAAGCATGATATGGTAGAAATGTATATTAAAAGTGACACTAAAGCTTTGTTTCTTTTTTAAATAACAAACAGGGGCAGACTGACCATTTGAGCACTCGGGCACTGCCCGAGGGCTCGAGTCAGTAGGGGGCCCCATGAAAGGCCCCTGGTACCTTTTTATAAGCTTTTTTGGGTGTGCTTTGACTGTGGGCAAGGAAACAGGGGCCCCATGATCCCCTATTGCCCGGAGGCCCCATGAGTTGTCAGTCCGCCCCTGATAACAAACATGTCTATACTTACCTGCTCTGTGCAGTGGTTTCGCACAAAGCTGTCCAGAACCTCTTCTTTTTGGGTCCTTGCTGGCACTCCTGGCTCCTCCCCCTCAAACAGTGCCCCCAGGGAAAGCCATTTGCCCTGAGGGCACCTCTGCATGCTTGTCCTTAGCCGCTGTTCTATGCATCCATAAGACACATAGAGCCATGGCTCAGCCCTGCCCCCTTTCTCTCCTCATTGGCTCAAGGGCTGTGACTGACAGTAGCAGGAGCCAATGGACTCAGTCAATGAGGAGGAAGAGTCTCCATACAGCAGAGGCTGTCGAGAACGTCGCTGGATCAGAGGGGGCTAAGGAAAGGAATGGGGGGGCTGCAGGGGCACTGCACACAGAAGGTTTTTAACCTTCATGCATAGAATACATGAAGATAAAAAACCTTGAACCTTTAGGACCACTTTAATGCTATATTTTTTTAAATTATACATGATGAACTGTTTATGTAAATTTCTGTTTTGATAATACCAGGCATAACCTGGAATACGATGATTTGGGATCATGATATATCCACATCAACAAATCTTTAAACCATTCTGCCATCTAAATCAGTCCCAAAGGGGTTGAGTTACTAGAAGCAAATAGACTGTTTACTTTGCAAGGGAATTTTCTGCCATAGCTTAGTGAATGTGGTGACGCACAGTTGACTTTCATCATCCAATTATGTGCAAGCAAACATTTTTTTTTTTAATTTTCCTTGCACATGACTGGGTGTATTTTGCAAAGTGACATTTTACTACATTCACTAAACTATTGGGGAAATTCTCTTGCAATGTGCAACTTCCCTTGCAAAGTGAACAGCCTATTTTGCTTTTTGATCAACCCCAAAGTGTCTCCCACTGTGTCCAAGCTGGACCAACAAAACTATATAAAAACTGCAATACCTAAACGTCCACTTTAATTGCATCATTATCTATTTTTATTCATCCTTGCTTTTTGCAGGTCATATTAAAGAAAAGCAAATGTGTATTTCTTTCTTTGTTTCTTAACTTTATTTGGTGAGCCATATTTATTTTATCTATCTAGATGCAAGTAAAGCAACATTTACGGCATCTCCTAGCTCTTGCTTTCTTGCTAGTCGCAACAAATCTGGTAGTCTTCCAAATGAATCTACTGTCAAAAATGAGTGTCAGCAAGAACAAGGTTACGCAGCTATGTCACCAGACCAGCATGCTGGTATTGTACGTGGACTACACTCCTTCTCGAATGAAAATAATGAAAATATTCAAATTACAGGTAAAATAATAGACAAAACTAACTGATGACTGACAGATGCATATAAATAGATAAAGCCCAAATCCAAGCTAAGGGATCCCCTCCACAGTGCTCCCCCTTTCCTCCCAGATTCGTCTTCTCATGTAGGTTTATCTTCAGATCTAATACAGCAGTGGGCAGGACTCACTGATGCAGAAAGTGGCACGGACATGATTTTAGCACTACTCCGTGCATTATTGTATGTGATAGCATACCACAGGGGGTGGGTCCATGATACTCTTCACTCAGATGATGTCTTAATATCTAAAAGCAGAAAGGAAATACTGTGGGGGATAACACCAGAGAGAAAATATCAGAGCTGTCTTTTGTTTTGAATCCCTACTGATAGACCAAAAAAAATATAACATAAGATAAAGATATGATAAATAAAAGCACAAACATGCATAAAAAGTGATGACAGCTACATAGGGTGATTTATAAAAAATAATTAGGTTATTTTAATAATCTACATCTCCATAGTTATTTTTCACTTGATTTTTTTTAATTTTTAAAAAATCAATGAAACATGCAGTGACCTGAAAGAGGTTAATGTCCTACATTTGGCAAAAAGTCAGCTGTTAAAGAAGAATTCCAGGTATGGTCCAATGTAACTATACATATACAATTCATAGCTGATGTCCTTGGAAGTTGGAAATAACTAAAGTAGACACTGCTGCTGCCGTGATCTCTACTTGCTTCCAGCTCCCTTGCTGAGCTGCTGGTTTGCTGTACTCTGAATACAGGAGATCACCCCCTCAGCACAGGTGCCATTCAGAGAATGCTTTGCATTTTCTGTATGAATGCAAAGCATTCTCTAATTGGATTACGTGGAGAGTGTGACATGATCACCATGCCTCTTCACCTCCTCCAATCTGACAAGGCTTTGCATTCATTCTGAAATGTAAAGCACTCTTTGAATGGGGCCTCTGCTGAGTGGCTAACCTCTTGTGTTCACAATGCAGCAGGGTAGTCTCTCAGCATGGGACTCGATCTCAAGTGGAGATCACTGGAGTAGATGTCTACTTCAGTGATTTCCAGCTTACAGCGGTATCAACCAGGTACAGTATATGCATAGTTACATCGACCAAGCTTGGATTATGTATGAAATACCCATACCAGAGGTATGGGTATTTACCCAACATTTCCTATGCCAGAAAAGATGGTGGAATTACGTAAAATAGCTGTCTATGTGGAGAGCAGATCCAATAGAGTAAACTTCATCTGATTCTTTAAAGGCAAAAGGGATGTTTGGCATATTAAGATGGACCAGTCCAGGTATATAATATGAAGTCAGGTGCAAATAAAAGTCTTTAAAGTCCAATAAACTCCAATTCAGCAGAAATCTGATTCTTTAAAGCCAAATATTTATTGTTTAAGCATTGCTTTATATCATATTGTGAAATTTCTAGGTCCACAGTCAGACCTTTCTGTTTGAATGTTTTTAGGTAGCCAGAAATTAGAAATTTAAACAAAATTAAAGCTTAACACCAGGACAGCTGTTTATTCTTAGTTTATGATAGAGTGAGGAAGGATTAGAACCACTGGAACCATTTCCATTTTCTTTCTGTTCATTTTACAGTGTCAAATAGTAATGGAAGTAAAGGGAAATCTCACCAAAAGTTTTATAATGCAGGAAAAAGTCAAAAGTTGTTTTTTTTTTTGTTGCTGTCTATGTCCCCACTGAGACATTGATAGATATTAGACAGAACATAAATGAGGTAAAATCTCTCCAAACAGCAATTCAAATCTGATTGATGTTTAACCTCTCCCTATAGTCTACACAAACACTAACGATGCTGCTTTAAAAGTTAATATATAATGTATTTTGCATAATTTTAACCTTTTTACCCATTTCAAATTATATTTATAGATCAGATGGATGTTACTCAAAGTACAGCTCAGTTGATGACTCCACCAATGTCACCTGCCATGTTAAATCGTGGTAGTGTTATAAATCAAGGACCAATGGTTTTGAGGCCTTCTAGTGCCGGCCAAGGAATATCTAGTCATTCTCAAGTTTCTTCATTTTCTGAGCCCCTCTACCAGAACCTTCCTCAGTCTAATCAGAACTACTTGTCATCTGGAACAAACTACCAAGCCATGTTCCGAGCTCATGCTCAGACTACTTCTGGAGCTTTCCATCACAGACTGGATCATAGTCGATATCAGCAGATAAATGAGCAGCAGGCTTCAAGAGATTATTTCAGCAACAGCTGTGCAGTGACTTCATTTAGTGCTCGTCCTTCCTCAAATTATGGAAATTCATCAAATCCTCAAGAAATTCAGAGCATGCAGTTTCTCAATGCTAGTGGATTCAATTATCTAAATGGATCAGTTTCCGGAAGCTGCCAAGGAGGAGCCTATTCTTCAAACACACCTAATGGTAGTGTTTACAACTTGCCACAGTTTTTGTGATTGTATATATTTTTTTCCACAGATATCTTTTGTAATGTGATTTTTGCACATTTTTTTATGAACTTCTTTCTATTTCGGTCATAGATGTAATAATGTTAATACCAATTTCTGGAAGAATTGTGACTTTCAGTAATTTTTAGGCAAAACTGCTTCAATGCACACACATCTGAATGAAAATATGTATCATTGTTCAAAGAGATAATTTAAGGCCCATTCACACTTGTGTGTTATGACATTAATGTGCATTTTCGCAACCCAAGGCAACTTACCTGCTCTATATGTGGTGCATTGTGAAGCTATTCATTGTGAATGGCACCCCAACACATTGTACAGTAAAGCACAATGCATTGCAGTGCATCACAACACACATAAGGGTCCTGTACAATTGTTCATCTATTGTGGGGAGCTGGAGGTCCATTCACAATGGGCTGCCTTTACACAAGGCAGCCCATTGGCCATAACATGTGTTAACATGTGTGCATTGAGCCACAATAATGGCATACTTAAGTGTGAATGAGCCCTTGGTTTACTAAAGGAGTAGAGAATTCTCACTTTGCAATGTGATTGTTGATGTAGCTTAGCTTAGTGAATAAAGTTAATCTTTTTAAACAAAATATTTTTTAACCATTGAAAGCCTTTAGTGTTCATGAATTGGTAGTTAATCTTATAAAGTGTTATTTTATCACCAGTAGCACTATGTTCTGCTCTTCTAAATATACATATTTTTAACTATTGCAGCATTTTTATGTAATATTAGCTATTTTTTTTACACTTTTTTATTTTTTTATCAAAAGATTTGTAGATTACCCACTAGAGGTAGGGTTAATTACCCACTACAACGATTTTACTTTACAACTGTTGAGATAAGATATTAGCTATAAAGCCTGGGGGTGGAAGGGGACCGATTAGAGGGGCGCTTGAGTCAAAGTAAACATACAAAATCTGTGTGCATGTGAAGATAACAAAAATCCAATGCTGTATCATTTGAGATTGCAAAGGCTGCAGTTGAAACTGACCCCATATGCTCTGTGACATTTCCAAACATAAACAGCCGATGTTAGATGCACAGGAGATTCCCCTTTTGCAGGCTGTGCAATAAAGCTATACATGGCTCAGCGGGCTGAACTAAAAAAACGGAATGGATTCCCCCTTCCACACATTCAAATCCTCCCCACTTTGTCATTGTATTCTGTCAGCAGATTAACCACATCATCAGAATACGCTGATCCGCGTGACAGCTGATTGGCTGCATGAGCTGAACAAAGCAACGTTTTCCACGAAGCCCGTTTATGAGAAGTCAATCGTTATATTAACTTCTCATGAATGGAAATAGCCATAAATGGATCTAAATTTGGCCAGTCCCTGCTGAATCAACTAAATAATAATCCATCCATGGCCAGCTTAGGGAAAATCTGTTTAGCTGTTTTAACAATTTAGCTGTATTGACCCCAGAGCCTCTGGTCATTCTTGTCAGCACTGAAACTAACCCTGTATGCCTAATGCAGTATTTTGTAGGCTTTATAAAATGCCTAGAGCCTCTCCCCAGCAAAAAACTGATAAGAGGAAAAAAAAAGCCGCAGTTTAAAGACATTTGTATTATGGTTTTAGAATAATTGTGTGCAGAAGTACTAACACTTATATCAAAATTTAAAATAGTAGTCAGTGTTATTGCTACTGCAACCCTTGTATTTTTTTTTTTTTACTTACTTTTAGACCACCTTTTTCAGTACTTGTTTACTGTGGCAGGTGGTGAAAAGCGTGGGAGGATTCAGAATTTGCACTGAGACCCTGAGATTGGAGATACTGAAAGAGTGCTGAGCTATTGAAAGAACAGCTGTTAAGGTGACAGTTATTTCCATGAACTGATGCCTGTCAACAACTCTGGTTCTTAGTGTACTGGTTATGCTGAGAGCTTTCTATTACCTATCTATGATACAGATATACTTTACATTAGGATCAATGACATTAGAAAGGTTGCTGGGGGTTCCATCACAATTTTGCTATTGGGCTCCTTGATCTGTATTTACAATCCTGATAAAAACAATGTCTGCAAAACATTAAAGCATACTGATGATTATCTATACCAAACTGATTTCTTTTTACACATTTGTCTTTTTTTGCAAAGTGTATTAATTTCTTCTACGATCAGCACAAACATAAGCATTAATCTTTGTAATTTGAGTTTTTTGCACAAAGTATGAGAAAAATAACGTAACACATTGGGAAAGTTCTGTTGATTAATGTGACAGTGGCACACTTAACAAATTTTATGCCCAGAGTGGATCTTTTTAAATGGCCCTACTCTGTAGAATTACATTTTCAGTAATAATCATGAAATGAAACAAAAAAAAGTGGTCTGAAAATGTTGAAAATGAAACTTGTAGAGTCCCCTTACACTCCTAAAATAATAGTCAGGGCAGTGTAGACTTACATCCCTGGTCAGTGTCTTGTTTTCTTTTAACTTGCTTGTCAGTAGACAGTTCCCCTTACACTGGTAGTCTGGGAGAGAGGAGCAATCCTACATTAGTGGTTAGTGACTGAAAAAGTGCCCCCAAGGGAGTAATCCTATATTGGTAGCTAGTAGGAACAATGACCTTTGCATTAATGCTCAGTGGGAGGAGGAATGTTCACTACAATGGTTATCAGTGGAAGGAAGAATGCCCCTTACATGACTGGTCTATTGGAGAAAAAAATGTCCCTTATATAGGTGGTTAGTAGAAAAAATGACCTGTTACTCTGGCAGTCAGTGGAAGAAATGCTCCTTACATTAGAGATGGATCAGTGGGGAAAACATTCCCTTACATTAAAATCAGTGTGTACCATTTCCCTTTACATTGGTGGTCAGTGAGAAGAATGCCTCCTACACAGATGGTCAGTAGGAGTAGGACCCGATTACAGCCCGGGCTAAAAGTTTTGAGAATGACACAAATATTAATTTACCTGCAAGGAAACATGTGCAGTCATCATTGCTTTGCACAAAAAAGGATTCACAGCCAAGGATATTGCAGCTACTAAGATTGCACCTAAATCAACCATTTATCGTATCATCAAGAACTTCAAGGAGAGAGGTTCAGTTGTTGTGAAGAAGGCTTCAGGGCAACCAATAAAGTCCAGAAAGTGCCAGGACTGTCTCCTAAAGTTGATCAGCTGCGGGATTGGGACACCACCAGTGCAGAACTTGCTCGGGAATAGCAGGAGGCAGGTGTGAGCCACTTCTCTCCAGGAAAAACATCAGGGACAGATGATATTCTGCAAAAGGTACATGGATTGGCCTGTTGATGACTGGGGTAAAGTCATTTTCTCTGATGAATCCCCTTTCTTTCAGATTGTTTGGGGCATCCAGAAAAAAGCCTTGCCTGGAGAAGAAAAGGTGAGCACTACCATCAGTCCTGTATCATGTCAATAGTAAAGCATCCTGAGACAATTCATGAGTGGGGTTGCTTCTCAGCCAATGAAGTGGGCTCACTCACAATTTGGCTAAGAACGCAGCTTCCAAGAGCAATTTCTCCCAACCATCCAAGAACAGTTTGGTGATGAACAATGCCTTTTCCAGCATGATGGAGCACCTTGGCAAAAGTGATAACTAAGTGGCTTGGGGAACAAAACATCAAAATCTCGGATCCATGGCCAGGAAACTCCCCAGACCTTAATCCCATTTAGAACTTGTAGTCAATCCTCAAGAGGCGGGTGAACAACCCCCCCCCCAAACAAATTCTAACAAATTCCAAGTATTGATTATGCAAGAATGGGCTGCCATCAGTCAGGATGTGGCCCAGAAGCTGAGTGACAGCATGCCAGGGGAATTGCAGAGGTCTTGAAAAAGAAAGGTCAACACTACAAATATTGACTCTTTCCATAAACTCAATGTAATTGTCAATAAAAGCCTTTGACACTTATGAAATGCTTGTAATTATAGTTCAGTATACCATAGTGATATCTGACAAAATGATCGAAAAAGACCGAAGCAGCAGACTTTGTGAAAATTAATATTTGGGTCATTCTCAAAACTTTTGGCCAGGGCTGTACATTATTGATCGGTGGGAAGAGTGCCCTTTACATTGGTGTTCATAGAGAAAAGCAACCTTTTTGCATTCATGGTCAGTTTGGAAAAGAGTCCCCTTACATTGGTGATCAGTGACATGAAGAATTCCCCCTTGTCTTGGTAGTTTGTGGGAAGAGCGCACCTAAAATTGGTGGCCAGTGGGCAGAATGACTCATTACAAAGTAATGGTCAGTAGGTGAAATTCCCCTTGAATTGGTGACAGGAATAATGCCTTTTTAGATTGGTGGTCAGTGGCAAGACAAAGTATTCCTTAGATTTGTGGTCAGTGAGAAGAAAAGTGCCACTTCTTACAATGTTGGCCAGTACGGAAAAGAATGTCACCTTAATTTGGTGCTCAGTAGGAAATAAAATTACCTTTCACATTGGTGTACAGTGGGAAAGATCCCGCCTAAAATAGTTTCCAGTGATAAAAATGTCCCTTTACATAAATGATTAGTGGTGAGAGTGACCATTAACATTGGTTACCAGTGGGTAAAGTTATCCTTGAATTGGTGTTTAGTCAGCTGAAAAGTTTATTGGTGTCAATGGTTACTCTGGAAAAAGGGAATGCTCTAACAGTCAAGGGCACCATCAGGCAGATCAATCTAATTGAATAACCTGCTCAGTCAATGCACCCTCTTGTTGCCACCACCTTGCATTTGGTATGCAAATGCAAGTGATAAAATATTTAGTGATAAGAAATAGAAACATTGTTTCTGGTTGTAGATGAATAGCAAACACCCAGGGGAAATTAACATTCTGCATGCAATTAATAAATTGACTTTATTTTGTATTTTAAGTCTGATTTACACCTAGACATTTAAGTATGGTTACAGTATTTTCTGACCACCTGAACATTGCATGTTGCATTCTGTAGCATTTTCTTCAACAGTACAGCTCTTGCATGCATGGCTTAATAATATTCTGTTTTCAAGATGTAGTAAGGCTACAATTTGCCCATGGTTTTTGTGTATTTTAATGTAGCAGGCTAAACCCTCCTAATCATTAAACACATATAAAATGCATATCAGAATTAATGTAAAAAATGATTGATGATAGTATGTGCATACACTGCTACAGAGGTTGGGGTTTTAATTTGAGACGTGGCACCCAGCAGAAGGCTTGCTACCTAATGGTAGCATATGGCTATTTATGATGCCTATTATCCAGATGTGAAATCAATTTGGCTGGCTTTAGGCACAGTAAAGGAAAATTCAGAATACAAACTAGTAATAACTAGTATTGTTCATCACTGTTCAAGATAAACTGTAGCAGATTGAATTTTTTTGCAAAGACACCTCACAAAAATGCAGAGTTATGAACTGTACTGCTGAAAACAGTGGCACTGAACTCGTAAATTCACAAATGCATAAAACACATTTTATTTCATAGATCAACAGAATTTTCCACGTACATATATTATCAGTTTTTGTATTTTTTCACATTTAAGTCAATTCACATAAATTAATGAATAGGTTTTTGTGTGTTAAAGTTAACCTACTACTATGGGGTCCTAGCTAAAGTAACACCATCCTGTAAAATATGTTGTATACCAACCTTTCCAGTAGCCCTTGTTCTTAAACTCCACCACATAGCAGTCTATAGTGAGGTGAGAGCCAGCAGGAGGAACTACAGTGTGCAATGGAGAAGCAACTATTCAATGCACCTGAAAATGTCAGAACTTATCTGGCACAGGGCATAGGTTTAAGACAGAGGCCACCAGAAAGAAAAGAACACCACATCTCCTTTTACAAGCTGAGCTTACTTACTAGTTTGGACCCCATTTTGACAGGATCACTTTAAAATACCACTAGCTTCTGGCTGGTGTTACAGTTAGGTGTCTGATGAGCAGACCAGAAAATTAAACCATTTGAGGCAGATAAAAAAATACTTCAGGACATAAAATACTGATACATCAGGAATGAAGGCTTTCACTGGTTAAATAATAACTTCACTCTGATAACAATGATAACAAACCTATGGGGTATTGTAATATGTTAATTGAGTGTTTTGACAATAACATTACAATGTGATAATGATGAAAATATTGAACATAGCACAGTGAACAAAGTAACACACTGGTCTTCCTGATCAGGATCCATAGGTAAGGATGTCTATATTGCAGCATGCTCATGCAAATCACAAACTGCTAGAAAGATGTACCCTCTGCATGAGTTTACCCAACCACACCCATCCAAATTGAATAATCTTCAGCTACTTATGAAAAGAATAAATTGACACCTACAGCAAAACCTGTTGCTTTATGTGTTCTCAATCATTGGCTTGGAGACATGTTTACTGCACTGTAGCTCAACATATGCAGGGTCAGTTTGCTTTTAACAGTTTGTGGTGTCCAGCAATTGCATGAGCGCATTGCAACACAATTCTTCATTTCTGGCAACTAAAGACATTTGGACCATTTTTAATAAAGTAGTAGAACATTTACATGTTGCAAAGAGAATGCTTAGTTAGCATTGTAAATTAGTTGAAGTATTGTTCACTTTGATCAGCCAATTGTGTTCACGCAAAACATTTACTTTGTTAGAGCTGAACTCCAAACCTAGCATGTACCCCATACCTACCACCCCTGTGTTTATACCCAAAAATGTGTTTTTATTTCTTGTTTCCATTAGAAAGATATGCTTCTGTTTTCTGTGACTTCATCATATGGCTCCTAAATATTCATACAGCAGCAGAGAACTGGAAAGAGGGGTAGGGGGCATTACTGTGGGTGATGTTCCTTGTCATTGCAGATACTGCATATACTGCCCCCTTTTGTCAGTCTCCACCATATAAAGAATAGCCAACAGCAAAACCCCTTTGCTTTGCACATCCTATTCTTGTGCAAACAATGGACACAGCTGCACAACAAAAGGTTTAGATGTTTGTTGTCCTTCATGTGGCTCTATTCACTGTATGAAACAAGACTGCATAGAGAGAAAGTTGAGGAAGAGTCTGCCCAGCATACACACTGCTATCAGTGTTCTGAGCTCCTGGGCAATTAGCAGCAGACATAGCAGAGAGACTATAGTTCCCAGAAGTCCATAGATTTGCACCATTCTGTCAAAGTCCTGACCTAGGACTTTGGTCAGAGAGAAATAGAGGCTGCCAAGTGGGTATAGCCTATGATTGATACCTCCCTGTCAGTGTCCTGAGCTCCTGGGAATTTAGAAGCAGCAGGACAGGGATGTGCAGGGCTAGCATAGCGGGCAGTGAGAGGCTTCTGAGCAATTTGTTTAAATTAGCAGGCACAACCATACAGCCTATGCATTACACAACCCTATCAGTGTCCTGGACCCCTAGGTAATGTGGGACACAGTTCAGAAGAATTAGACCAGAGAGGAAGAACTAGGAGGGGAGAGGTGGAGTTGGATGGAAAGAAGCTATACCTTTATGCTGGTATGATCCTACTATTGAGGGCAGAGTGAGAGTGATGATGTCAACTGATTAGAGCTTCTAGGGGCATTGAGGGGACCAGTCACCCTGAAGCACATAGAGCATGCACAGGTGTCTGGTCTGCTGAACAGAAAATACCAGAGAAATTGTCTCAGTAGGGTAACTTTGGGAGAGAATATCACAACAATGTAGAAGAAAATTGTCTATGCAAGGACAAACAATAAAAAGGCAAAAAGTTAACATCCCTGCATATTGAAGCTTCACCACACACTAAGCTCTGGGGAAAAATGAGTCGAACTGAACTACAAAGTGTGCAGTCTATTTCCTGTTAGTAAATCACCCGTCATAGGTTTTTAATATGCTAACCCCTTTGTTGTTTCATCTCTATACATATGCACTGTGCACTTTGTAATCACAGGCCTAGGCCACTGTATGTATTATCAAAATTGGAACAGACAGAATCTGGAGCAGCTGTGCATGGCAACCAATCAATTTCTATCTTTCATTTTTAAAGCCTAACCGAATAAGCAAAGGATTGAAGCAGGCACAATTGTTCCAGATTGTGGCTGCTCCAGTTTTGATAAATTCCCCTCCAATAAGTTCCTCCTTCTTACTTCTTGTCTGCAAGAACAGCTGAAGACACTTGAATGAATGGCCAAATGTCTTCCCAACCCAGCTTAATGTGACTAACTCGTACTAGTGTTTTGTCTGCAGTTCTAGTTCAGCTGCAGAGCTAAATCTTAACAGAGAAGAGTTTACACTGGCCTAAGCCTGTGATTATAAATCACAGAGCATATGTATAGAGATGCTACAACAAAGAGGTTACTGTATATTTGCAAAGTTGACTTGTATTCCTTAGCATATTAAAAAGATATAGGGGGGATTTACTATTAGGAAATAAACTCTCTTCACTTCAGCTCATTTTTCCCCAGAGCTTATTGAATGTGGTGTAGCTTCATTTTGTAAAGAATTCTCAATCAGGTGCAAGTAATAAAACATCATTTTTGCTTGTACATAATTAGTTGATGGAAATCAGCAGATCTTCATTACATATTCTAAGCTCTTGGGAAAATGAGTGCAACTTCACTTGCAAAGTGAACAGTTATTTGCCTTTAGAAAATCAACCCCATTATATTTTAAAAGTATAGTTATCTATTAAGTAATGTTTGAATTAAATACCTGGAAATGGTAAATGTCATATGTATATCTAATTATATACTGTATATTTTAGTCATCCATATAACTGAATATCCAATATTTTCAAGTCAAAAGTCCTCCTGTGTTTTGCATACAAATGGCTTCTTTTTAAAAAAGAACTCCTAAGCGGTGAAAATGTTTTAAGATTGCACAACTGTTCTTGACATAACGTGTATCTAAAGCTGTAATTATTTTATTTCTTTTTATCATTGAGTGGGGAAGGGTTATAAATCCTGTCAGGTTTTTATTGCTCTCTGTGTCAGCCTTGGGGAAATTCACTTATTTGTCCTGGTGACCATTGTCACCTGAACTGAAAGCAAGGGAAAATCTATTTTGAGTTGTCACTGGGTCAGGAATTAAAGGAAAAATCAAATGTTTCAACAACAACTGTCTAGATAGAATTTTTTTTTTTCTTACATTAGAGATATCTCCTTTTACTCTCTGTTAAGAAGTAAAGGAAATGCTTTCCATATGGATTGAGACACAAAGAAAGTCAGTATTTTACCAAATTCCTACTCCATCTAAAATTTAAAAAGAAAGGTTTAGCTTTAGATATACTTCTATGTTTACGTGATATATTACTTGATATGTTTTGCTGCTTTATCTGATATGTTAATTTGTTTTATCTGCTATAAATAATTGTGGTCCCCTTTTTTTAACAGGATACTATGGAAATCATTTAGGCTATTCAGAGTCCCATCGACTTGGATCCATGATAGATCAACATGTATCTGTGATTAGCAGCATTAGTTCTGTACGTCCATTGCATTCTTTTAATGATATTCATGATCCACTCAATATTTTAGAGGACAGTGGAAGAAAGCAGCTGGGATCCTATTATACAGAAACATCACCTGCTATTCTTTGTCGTAATTCAGTGGGTAAGTAAAGCGCCAATCTCATAGTTGTGCAACTAAGTTGAATAAAGATATCCATAGCAGGGGCGGACTGCCCATTTGGAAACTCGGGCACTGCCTGAGGACCGGGGGTCAGTAGGGGGCCCCATGAGATGCCCCTGGTACCTTTTTCATAGCCTTTTTTGAGTTTGGGCAAGGACACAGGGGCCCCATGATCCCCTATTGCCCGGGGGACCCATGAGTTGTCAGTCCTGCTCCTGATCCATAGGGATTGATTTACTAAAACTGGAGAGTGCAAAATCTGGTGCTGCTCTGCATAGAACCCAATCAGCTTCCAGTTTATTTTTTTTGGTCAAAGATTAACTGAGAAGCTGAAGTTAGAAGCTGATTGGCTACCATGCACAGATGCACAAGAGTATGCACTCTGCAGTTTTAGAACCATCAAGTTCAAGAAATAAAAAACACCCTACTTTCTTGAAACCTTAGTCAAGATTCAATCCACAGTTCTACAGATAGGTAAAAAAAAACCCTAAAGCATGGATCTGTAAATACAGGGAAAAATCCTTCCATATCCTAAAAAAGACTATAGGATAATTCTCTGGATGAACATTATAAAATGTTACATATTTTCTATAATTATTAGTAACTACTGATGTTTTTTTAGAAATGCATCTAGAGTTTTTAAAGTCTGTGAGAACCAGCTCCTGTGGAAGACTATTCTTACAGTTAGTCATTTTTAGTTACCGGTATGTAGATGTAAGCCTGATTTTCCTTAACTGCAAAAAGTGTCCTCTTATTTTTTACGTGACTTTCAAGTGTAAAATATTTACATTAGGTGACTATAACCTCTTTAAAAGTGAGTTTGAAGCGTGAAGGTTTTTTTTTACCTTCATGCATTCTATGCATGAAGGTAAAAAACCTTCAGTGTGCAGCACCCCCGCTGCCCCCCCCCCCAAATAATTACTCTAGCTCAGTCTTCATCCAGGACCGTGCACGGGAGACTTGGTTCTCCTGGATCTCTCTCTCCTCACTGGGTGAGGCACAGCCAGTGAGGAAGGTGCATGAGCCATGCTCTGTGTGCCCCATAGACAAACAGAGCTGGCTCAGGACTGAGCATGCATGAGTGGGCATTTGGCAAGGGGGAGGAGCCAGAAGTGCCAGTGGGGAACCCGAGAAAAGGAGGATCGGGGCTGCTCTGTGCAAAACCATTGCACAGAGCAAGTAAGTATGAAATGTTTGTTATTTTAAAAAAAAAATAACCTTTAGAATCACTTTAATATTCAAGATTGATTAGATAATTTTTTAATCTTTCCTCATATTTGAGGATCTTCATGTCCCCGTAAAATTGAGTTGCCCTTCTCTACACTTCTTTCAGTTTACCAAAATATTTGTTTGGTCTACGCCAATATATTTATTATCAAAATTGCAGCAGACAGAATCTGGAGCAGCTGTGAATTGTTATTTTAAAGCAAAAAAATAACCTTTAGAACCACTTTTATATACAAGATTGATTAGGTTAATTTTTGTGCATCTTTCCATAGCTGAGGTTCTTCATGCCCCCTTATTAATTTAGTTGCCCTTCTCTACACTTCTTTCAGTTTACCAAAATCTTTGTTTGGTCTAGTGCCGAAAACTGAACATCTCATTTACTAATGTTTTTTGTAGGGGTACAATCAGGGGCGGACTGACCATTTGGAAACTCGGACACTGCCCGAGGGCCCAGGGTCAGTAGGGGGCCCCATGAGATGCCCCTGGTACCTTTTTCATAGGCTTTTTTTTTGTTTGGGCAAGTACACAGGGGCCCCATGATCCCTTATTGCCCGAGGGCCCCATGAGTTGTCAGTCCGCCCCTGGGTACAATTATGGTAATGATTTACTAAAGGAGTCCAGGCTGTTCCCATAGCAAAGTGAATGTTGGTAAATCAGGTGAAGCTTTGTTCACTTTGAATACCCAATCATATGCCAACAAAATAAAAAATTTACAGGAATCCTGCGAGCACACGATTGGCTAATTGACGTAAACAAAGCTTCAGTTTACTTACAAACATTAAGTTTTTCAGTGTTAGTGGAGAGATCAGTATGGTGAAGAAACTCAATGCGACATGTCTGTGTGATGAATGATGTTTCACAGTCAAAATAAACATTTCTTACAGTGAAAAATGGACTTTTAAGCATTGGCTGTAACCTACCCTTACACTGCTGGAATGCTGCACATTTGGTCAATGTCACAACTGCTTAATAACCTTTTTCATTGGGCCCTGCATATAGTGACTGTCTCAAAAAAACAAAAAAGGAATATTTTGGCGTTCTGGCTTTGACCCCTCATAAATGACAAAAATCTAACCCAATTGTTATTTAAACTAAAAATGCACCAATGACCAGACTTTGGGTATTCAAGCATTTGCATATTCTTAATAAAAAAGCCATTTACCTTTATAAAAAAGACCCTAGTGACCTCTGTAGCTACAGAGACTATGAAGTATTTGGTCCTCACTATTTACATCAGAAGTGCTGAAGTTTTTTAAGCCTCGCCTCTCTCAGAAACTAGAAGGATGGAAGGCTGCCAGGTCAAAACTGGGTGGGTTGAGGGGTGGGGGGGGGGGGGGGGGGGCAGGCTGAGCTGCTAAAAGTAGGACTTACAAGATTTCAATCATCCTGCTGTGAACTTGGAGGAAGAATAGCATGTAGCTACTGAGAGCAGAAGGTGATTATTTTAAAGAATGTCCATAGCATGGTTAAAAGTCCATCTTAACTATCAACTTAACATGAGTTTTTAACTTTTTTTCAGCAGCTTCAAATTTGCAGAGTGTGATATCTGCCCCCACCTCTCAATGTATGTATGGAATGGCAGAACAATATGGCCCTCAAGAACCACTGGAGACCCATGTTCAGTCTAGTGACATGAGGGAGATGATGTCCTCTTTACCTCCAATTAATACAGTCTTCATGGGAACCTCTTCAGGAAATACATAAGTCAATTCTGTTTAAATACATTAAAAATGAAATTTTACAGAAGTAAATTATACCTTTACCCACATTCCCGACAATTTTGGCATTGTAAACGAAGGAAATGAAACAATAGGATAACCAGCTTTGAGAACAGTATGTTTAACCACCACCTTATGTTTATCTACCTGGAAAAATGTATTTATCACCCATTGAGGGGCATAATAATGCAGTCCATGTTATGAGGGTTATGCTACAGCTAACAGGAGGTTTGGATACTTGCAAAACAAAACAAAAATTAAGCAAGCCCCTGTATAGCCACATCTCCAACCATCATGTCAAACTATCATGTTTTTTGTTAGTGTCCTAGGAGGTTGGATACTTTATCATCAGATCTGCTGTGGAAAACTCTGATTTTTTTTTAAATATTTTTTTTCCTCTTCAATCAAGCCATTTATTCTAGTGTAGATACTTTTTTCTTTTGAGAGCTCCGTCCCGTGAAGCCTAGATTGCATTCTGCAGTCACTTTTGCAGAAGTTGTTTTCTTTTTTCGGGTCATAATCCTGTGCAATGCCCTTTTGTCTCTTTCGGTCAGTAGACCATGTTGACTGCACTTATGCTTATCAGACGATGTTTTCCTGGAAACTGTATATGCCGCCATAACCTTTGATACTGTACCATGCTACATGGTGAATAAATTGGGAATTTCAGTCATGGTTTCACCAGCTAAATGGGAACCAACAATTTGCCCTCTTTGAAGCTCAGTAATCTCTGACATGACTCTGCATTACTAAACAGCGCACGCAGTGAATGACAAAAGTGAGACTTCCCACTTGTTAGCTAGGTGTCTCCTCTCCTTATGTCATTTCTGCTTTCAATAGGAAACATGTTGTAACTTTCACACCTGCAAATCATGTACTGTTTTCATTTCTTTGTCCAACCCCTTTGTATTGATGTCATCTACTTTATTCCTTCTCTATAGTCAAGGGATTGGTATTTCAATGTGAGGCCTTCACAATAGTAACTTTCTTGTAGTCCAAAATTTAGTTCACTATTTATTTGTTGGACTAAATCCTATCCTGTTTTGTGATTGTGGCTCCACGTGCATTTTTCTATGTAGTTGGAGTGTAGTTTGGAGCAATATCCAAATTTGAACATCAGGTTGCTCCCATATATCCTTCCCATACCCCATACATTATCCCACATCCCTGTGTTCCTCAAAGGATGATAAAGAAAATAAGATTTTTGTAATTACAGTAAAATCTTTTTCTGCCCCACTGTGCCCCTCTTGGTTTTTGGTCTTATGTATTGCTCGCTCACAAAACTGAGGCATGACAGTTGAAAGAGAGGTTATACTATCTTAACATTTTGCCAGTGTCCAAACTTCCCATAGGTGACAGTATAACCCACATGTCGTAGACTATTCTACATTTCTGTCCCTCAATGGACTCCAAGAAAAAGATTTTACAGTGAGATCAAAAATGTTCTTTTTTTCACTAATGTTAGTGAACATATATATTCATTGTGTATGCATCACCTTGTACTGTAACTAGCAATGAATTAATGATGTTAAAAATGGGCAATAGGGATAATTCTACAATTTTTTTATTAATCTGTATATATACATACAGATTTTTCTGAGCTGAAGAGAAACATACAATTTGTGAATTATAATTGCCCGGATTCTTGATTTTTTTGTTTTTTTTTACTGATCAGACAAGTCTGCATGCAAATACATAAACATTAGAGAATTAGGCAACGTTCACACTAGCATTGTGTGCAGGTGGCAAAAGGCATTTGGGAAGCGTTTTTTACCACTTCCCAAATGCCTGGGACAATTCTGCACATTGCAGCACATGGTGCTGTTCTAACGGGAGCGTTAGCGTCATGACGTGGCAAAACAGACGCCTCTGGTCGAGTCAGGAGGCGTTGAAGCCTCCTATTCTAGTCTATGGTGCCGCTCCGCAAACGCCCGGCCGGCGTTTGCGACGCGGTTGTGGGGCGTTTGTGGAGTGGTAACACCAATCAAACTTCATTATAGGCGTTTGTAGGGCATTTTTAATGCTCGGCAAATGCCTAGCAACCGCTGCTGAACCGCGCATGAGGCGTTTGTGGAGTTGCCAAGCGTTAAAAACGCTCTGCAAATGCTGCACCAACGCTTATATAGGGGCTTTTGGCAAGAGTTGGTAAAACAGTCAAGTGTGAACGAGCCCTCATACACAAATATAATTGAGAGAAAATCATTATCATTTTCTGGCAGAAGACAATAGGCATTTATGTGTCCTTTGAGGCATAGGCCAGTGCTGACCTGGGTTTCATCTTGAGGGTGAACAGCTGTCCTGTGACAGCTGATTAAGATTTTCAAATCATGGATGTGGAACTTTTAGAGCTTTATACGAGTGTATTGACATATGAATGTATGGTTTCCTGTAGGTTAAAATTTGGAATATATATTTGTAATATTCTATTATTTTTAAAAATAAAATATTGTTTAAAGGACAACTTTAACTTTGGTACAGTTGTCCTTTAAGGCATCTTTCCATTCCCCTGACTGCAGCCTACCTGGTCCAGTATTACCACTGCACCTATTCTAACTTTCTTCACTGTGCAGCCCAGCTCAGAGATACACAACCTTTATTTCAGAATCTGTATTCGCTAGATCCTCCTCACCCTGCACATGCTTGCCGTGGCCCTATTGAGTCATTGGGGAACAATAATTTTAGCAATCTCCAATGGTTCTGCAGAGTACAGTGCTTCCTTTAGGAACAATTGATATCACACCGTACATGTGCAGAATGAAGGGGCCCCAGTGAGAATAATTTCTGAAAAAATGTTGTGACAGTCCAGGCAAGTTTGCACAATAAAGAGTGGGGGAAAATTTAATTTTTTAGACCAGGTGGGCTGCATTTGGGGATGGGGGAGGGAATACTTCAAAGAACAGCATGTACCAGAGATACAGTTGTCTTTTAGGCTGTTTAGGCTTGCTGTTGTGTATTTGAGACAGGAGGTGAAGAAAATCTCCCCAATGGGACAAGCAGAATAAGAAACACTTTTTTTTTTTACATTTTATCAATTTGCTACAATATGCAAAACTGAAAAAGGTTTTGCTTTAGATATACTTTAGGCTTAATAGAAATCCAACAGTTGAATATAATTTTCAAAGCTCAAAAGTAGAACCCACAGAGCTTCATATTGGTGTTTTGCCATAGTTTGTTGAGTCTTTACTCCTACTGGTTGACTTGTCACCTTTGGTGGTGAACTTTTGGTTTACATAGTAGAAACTGTGCCAAATTTTAGCAATCTTATTTGTGTAAACACATTTCCAGCTTGAATCTATTTAAGAGAAACACGCCAATTATATTTTAGTTTCTCAAACTCATATAAATTAAAAATACATTTCTGAATGGCTGCTATTGGTTACTGCACTTTTCAGTTTTGACACTTTAAATTGATTTATTAAGTATATTCAATAATTGTAGTTTGGATGCATGGTAAATATGACTGCATGGTTCATATAACTGCAAAACGTATGCTGATTTGCGAAAAATAAAAGGATAGTTCATCTGTATGCCCAGCCAGTATGATACAAATATGCTGCTGCTTGCTTGTTCTCCCACCACTCATTATTATAAAAAAATATGATAGGCTGATATTGTGGCACATCACAGATAGAGTACAACCTGTAGTTTGATTTTGTTTATCTCCTAATTTTGTTTTCACTGTGCATGAATGTTAGACTGTGTCTTCATTACCGTAAAGAACTAAGTTGATAAAGGACCATAGAAAAGCAGTCAAAGGTGTACCAAGTGTGTGCTCTGACATAATGTGGTATGTTACCATATGATGCATTGGGCTGGTCATGGCTGTAACTTCTATGGCTCTTCATCAGCTATTGATGTGTCTGCCACACACTGCATACACTGAACCCTTGAAAGGAACTCTGTTTATAAGAAAGACCATCATATAATTTGACCAATTTGAATGTATATATTTTTACCATGTATATATGTGTGTCTACCTGTAAAATATATGTATATTTAGACATGTATTATATTATCAATATTTATTACTGCTAGAGTATAGGTTTACTAGAATTTACTTGACGTAGCGTCAGGATACATTTTCTACCTCCTATGGAATTGTTTACAAATTCATACAGTAAGATCTCTTATTATTCTTGTTCATTAAACTATGTTCTTTCCATGTGAATGGCAGCCTGATTTATTTACCCGTGTTTTTAGTAAATGATGGTCTTTTGGTTATTACAGGTATCTACAGAGATGGTCACCTTTAAACCGCTCTCTGTAAAGTTTGTAACTGGGGAGGGTGGAGCTATACCACAACTAAAGGCCCATCTATTAGTAGGTAGTTAAATTTAACAATACTTGTTTTTTAAACATTGGAGACATTTTTCTGCTTATCTATACACATTTTACATCTCTGATAAGTGTAAGTAACCAACTGCATTATTTACTGCATATCCACATAGGGAGAGCTGTTTGGATAGGTGGAGAAACATCTCCAATATTACAGAAAAAGATCAGTTGAATGGGACTAACTACTATTAGGCACACCATGTCTTGGGTAAATGAGAATCTTTAATCTCCATTCACACTGAGCTGAGTGTTTTTCAGGTTTTTATTTCAAGCTTTTTTTCAGGCGTCTGTGAGCCTTTTTTTGACCAGATTTGCTAATATTATAGGCATTGTTTCAGGCATTTTTCATTAAGGTGTTTTTGCTGTGGCCAATAGAAATAGAAATAGCTGCTGTATGAGCTGAAAAAACCTAAAAAAAAATCACTTGAAAAACACTCATTCCCATCATTCCCACTGTTCAGGTGTTTTTCCATTGAAGTCTATGGGGACAAAATGCTCAGATCTGCGTGAAAAGTAGCGCATGTACCTTTTTGAGCGACAGGCAGTTTGCTACAGCTGACAGAGTGCTCAAGTGTGAACAGGGGCCATTGGAAATAATGAGATTTTGCTTGTTGAGCGTTGAGTTTCGAGCTGAAAAACGCTTAAGTGTGAACGGGGTCTTAGAGATACAAATGAAAGTTACATATTTTTAAATATATTGCAGCTTCTGACAAATTAGGTTGTTAGCTCATATAGGTAAATTTATATAGAATGTGAGTAATATTATATTGACAACTGAATAAAGATAATTTTTGGGGAGAAAGGAAAATCAGAAAGCTGCTATTACTATTAACAATGATGATACTATTAATAAATATAGCATAAAATAATACTTTTCATATTATACTATTAATCCATGATAAATTATAAAATCCACTTAATGTAAATACAATGTAAAAGGTTTTTCTATATATTTTTGGTATATAAAAACTGAATTAACTGTTGTAAGCTTACAAATAAAAAAAATTTCCCAAAAATTGTTAAAGTTTCCCTTTTAATCTGAGGTATCTGCAATACACTGCAGCCAATTTTCACAGATCTTTCCATATTTGGAATGAGTAAGTCTGCTTCCTAAAACTTGTACTGTGTAAGTTTCTTTCTTTGTATGATAGATCACCAATCAAATTCATACTTTCAAGGAATCTTTGACTCTGATTGGTAACTGTGATAATGTAGCTCCACTGAACTCAGTAGGGACACTTTGATATGTCAGTTACATAAGATATTTTATTTCTTCATAAACCATGGTCAGATTACCTCCATTTTCTTAAATTTTGATATTCTAGAGATCAACAGCTGTTGATGTCGCATTGTGCAAGCAGAAAGCTCCTTCAATAGCTCTGGTGTGGGGTATGGGGTGTATTCATTTTTGCATCAACTAATTTGAATAAAACTGAAGAGTTTGTAATCTAAGTTATATTATTAACCTTACTTTCATGTAATGAGCTAAACAAATGTCCTTTAAAACTCAGTTTTGTCAAAATTTTGGAAATTGGTCTTGTGTTCATTGAGATATTGTTTACAATCTTACTTTATTGTTTACTATATTGCCAGAAGTATTGGGTCACCCCTCCAAATCATTGGATTCAGGTGTTTCAATCACCTTCATGGCCACAGGTATATAAAATCAAGCACCTAGGCATGCAGACTGCTTCTACAAACATTTGTGAAAGAATGGGTCGCTCTTAGGAGCTCAATGAATTCTTGCGTGGTACCATGTGGTGCAATTAGTCCATCCGTGAAATTTCCTTGTTACTATATATTCCACAGTCAACTGTTAGTGGTATTATAACAAAGTGGAAGCAACTGGGAACAACAGCAACTCAGCCACCAAGTGGTAGGCTACGTAAAATGACAGAGCAGGGGCAGCGCATACTGAAGTGTACAGTGTGCAGAGGTCTCCAACTGTCTGCAGAGTCAATAGCTAAAGACCTCCAAACTTCGTGTGGCCTTCAGATTAGCCCAACAGTGCATAGAGCGCTTCATGGAATGGGTTTCTATGGCCCAGCAGTTGCATCCAAGCCTTACATCACCAAATGCAAAGCAAAGCATCAGATGCAGTGATATAAAGCACACCGCCACTGGATTTTAGAGCAGTGGAGACATGTTCTCTGAAGTGATGAATCACCCTTCTCTGTCTGGTAATCCGTTTGATGTGTCTGGGTTTGGCAGTTGCCAGGAGAACGGTACTTGCCTGACTGCATTGTGCCAAGTGTAAAGTTTGGTGTGGGGGATTATGGTGTGGGGTTGTTTTTCAGGTGTTGGGCTTGGCCCCTTAGTTCCAGTGAAGGAAACTCTTGAGGTACCAGCAGAATGAAGGGGCCCCTTCATTCTGAATGAGGTCCATAAAGGTGAATGAGGTCCATAAAGACATGGATGAGCGAGTTAGAGGTGGAGGAACTTGACTGGCCTGCACAAAGTCCTAACCTCAACCCGACAGAACACCTTTGGGATGAATTAGAGCAGAGACTACCAGCTAGGCCTTCTTGTCTGACATCAGTGCCTTACCTCAAAATTGTGCTTCTGGAAGAACAGTCAAACATCTCCATAGATATGCTCCTAAACCTTGTGGACAGCCTTCCCAGAAGAATTGAAGCTGTTATAGCTGCAAAGGGTAGGTCAACTCAATATTGAACCCTACGAACTAAGAATGAGATTCCATTAAATTTCATGTACATGCAAAAGCAGACATCCCAATACTTTTGGCAATATAGTTAGAGATGAGCGAAGTATTCAAAAATTTGATTCGGCTGATTCGGCGAATTCGAGGAATAAATTTGATTCGATGCGAATATATTCGCTGCGAATTTAACTTATAAAGGGTGTTTCTAGGCTTCAGAGAGCCTTCCTATTAGTGCAGAACACTGTACCTTTAATTTAAATGCCCTTGGAGTCTGCTGGGGAAGAGAAATAATACTGTCAGTCAGTATGACATGCAGATGAGTGCCGTCGATCTTAGAATCACCGCACACTTCACTCATTTGGGCAGTCACGGGGCCAAAACCAGAGTGTGGAGCCACAGTGTGGCGGTGGAGGCAGCAGCAATGGGAGGCCATACAGCACCCTATGACAAAATGGAACCCACCAGCAGTGTGAGGAGACCTGAAAGTGGCACATGGCAGAGTGTGGCGATGGAGACAGCAGCAATGGGAGGCCGTACAGGGACCCATGAGAGACTCTGGACCTGGCAGCAGCATGAGGAGGCGGTACGGGGGCCCATGGCAGATTACGGGCCTGGCAGCAGCAATGGGAGGCCCGTAATCTGCCAGCACACTATGACAAAAAATGGAACACACCAGCAGTGTGAGGAGACCTGAAAGTGGCACATGTTTGGGGCATGATTCATGGCGGATTTAGTCAGTTGTGTCAGGAACTGGTGGTTTGAAATCCAGACTAATCCACGCCTGATTCATTTTCACAAACGTGAGTCTCTCCACACTTTGGGTGGACAGTCGTGTCCTCCGCGGAGTTACAATACCTCCTGCCGCACTAAACACGCGCTCAGATGCCACGCTACTGGCCGGGCATGACAGCCTTTCAAGGGTAAATTCAGCTAGTTGGGGCCAAAGGTCAAGTTTCGTTGCCCAGTAGTCAAGGGGATTGTCTACCTCGGTTGGCAGGTGCTGTCCAAGTAGGCCCAAGCCTGTTGTTTGAGGTCCTGCTCCAGGTCCACCTGATGCTGCTGCTGCTTGCTGCTGCGGGAAGAAAGCTACTCATCATCGACTGCAGACTGAGGCAGCCGCTGCTGGTGGGAGCTGCCACTGCTCCTACCACCCCACCCCTCCCCTGCTGCCATGGCAGCGGAACGCGAGCGCACAGGGCCCACAGTGTCTGAAGATGGACGTTGGCGCAGAAAGGCAGAGACCAACTGACTACATAGGTGGTTTTTATAGCACGTTATTTTGGCCTCCCTCTCAGCAGGTGTGAAAAAAGGCCACCATTTTTGAACGGTAGCGAGGGTCCCCAACAAGGTGGACAGCGCCAAAAGTCATCCCTCTGTCTGATGGTTATTATTTGGCTGTCGCTACGCAAGCAAGCGAGCATGCTATGGGCCATTTGTGCCAAGGAATGCGAGGGACTCCCTGCCTCCATCTCCACAGCATACTGCCACGGTGCGTCTGGGTCCTCTGTCTCCTCCTCCTCCTCCTCTACCAGATGCTCCTGCTCCTCCACTCCTGTCCGCTGAGTGGAAAAACCACCCATTTCACTCAATAATTTCCTGAGCACAAATGTCCTCCTCTACCTCCTCCTCTTCTTCCTGTCCTGCCCCCACAGGGGGTCATGTGGCGTTGAGATCTGTGCGCCACGTCATACCGCACCCTGACCAGCCATTGTTAACAGCATTTGTTCCAGGACGTGCAACAGAGGAATGACGTCGTTCATTTCCCATAGTCCTGCCGACTCACGATATAGTGTGCCTCCTCAAAGGGCCTGAGCAAGCGGCAGGTGTCACGCATGAGCTGCCAATGGCTGACATCTAAGTTACACAGGGGAGTACCTTTATATATCCGCTTGTAACATCAGGAATCTTGTGATGGCCTTTCGCTGTTCGTAAAGGCGGTTCTAACATATGTAGGGTTTGAATTCCACCTTGTTGCAAACGTCACAGCATGAGAGTCGGTACGGGGGACCATGGCAGATTACGGGCCTGGCAGAAGCAATGGGGAGGCCCGTAATCTGCCAGCACCCTATGACAAAAAAATGGAACACACCAGCAGTGTGAGGAGACCTGAAAGTGGCACATGGCAGAGTGTGGCGATGGAGACAGCAGCAATGGGAGCTATGCCGTACAGGGACCCATGAGAGACTCTGGACCTGGCAGCAGCATGAAGAGGCGGTACAGGGGCCCATGGCAAGATTACGGGCCTGGCAGCAGCAATGGGAGGCCCGTAATCTGCCAGCACCCTATGACAAAAAATGGGAACACACCAGCAGTGTGAGGAGACCTGAAAGTGGCACACATGGCAGAGTGTGGCGATGGAGACAGCAGCCATGGAGGCCTGTACAGGGACCCATGAGACACTCTGGACCTGGCAGCAGCATGAAGAGGCGGTACAGGGGCCCATAGGCAGATTACGGGCCTGGCAGCAGCAATGGAGGCCCGTAATCTGCCAGCACCCTATGACAAAAAAATGGAACACACCAGCAGTGTGAGGAGACATGAAAGTGGCACATGGCAGAGTGTGGCGATGGAGACAGCAGCAATGGGAGGCCGTACAGGGACCCATGAGACACTGTGGACCTGGCAGCAGCATGAGGAAGGACGTACAGGGGCCCATGGCAGATTAACGGGCCATGGCAGCAGCAATGGGAGGCCCGTAATCTGCCAGCACCCTAATGACAAAAAATGGAACACACCAGCAGTGTGAGGAGACCTGAAAGTGGCCATGGCAGAGTGTGGCGATGGAGACAGGGCAGTCAATGGGAGGCCGTACAGGGACCCATGAGAGACTCTGGACCTGGCAGCAGCATGAGTGAGGCGGTACGGGGGCCCATGGCAGATTACGGGCCTGGCAGAAGCAATGGAGGCCCGTAATCTGCCAGCACCCTATGACAAAAAATGGAACACACCATTAGTGTGAGGAGACCTGAAAGTGGCACATTGCAGAGTGTGGCGATGGAGACAGCAGCAATGGGAGGCCGTACAGGGACCCATGAGACACTCTGGACCTGGCAGCAGCATGAAGAGGCGGTACAGGGGCCCATGGCAGATTAACAGGCCTGGCAGCAGCAATGGGAGGGCCCGTAATCTGCCAGCACCCTATGACAAAAAATGGAACACACCAGCAGTGTGAGGAGACCTGAAAGTGGCACATGGCAGAGTGTGGCGATGGAGACAGCAGCAATGGGAGGCCGTACAGGGACCCCATGAGAGACTCTGGACCTGGCAGCAGCATGAGGAGGCGGTACAGGGCCCATGGCAGATTAGGGGCCTGGCAGCAGCTAATGGGAGGCCCGTAATCTGCCAGCACCCTATGACAAAAAATGGAACACACCAGCAGTGTGTGAGGAGACCTGAAAGTGGCACATGGCAGAGTGTGGCGATGGAGACAGCAGCAATGGGAGGCCGTACAGGGACCCCATTGAGACACTGTGGACCTGGCAGCAGCATGAGGAGGCGGTACAGGGGCCCATGGCAGATGTAGGGGCCTGGCAGCAGCAATGGGAGGCCCGTAATCTGCCAGCACTCTATGACAAAATGGAACACACCAGCAGTGTGAGGAGACCTAAAGTGGCACATGACATGACACACTGTGGACCTTGCAGCAGCATGAGGAGGCAGTACAGGGGCCCATGGCAGATTAGGGGCCTGGCAGCAGCTATGGGAGGCCCGTAATCTGCCAGCACCCTATGAACAAAAAATGGAACACCCCAGTCAGTGTGTGAGGAGACCTGAAAGTGGCACATGGCAGAGTGTGGCGATGGAGACAGCAGCAATGGGAGGCCGTATAGGGACCCATGAGAGACTCTGGACTGGCAGCAGCATGAGGAGGCGGTACAGGGGCCCACGGCAGATTACGGGCCTGGCAGCAGCAATGGGAGGCCCGTAAAACTGCCAGCACCCTCTATGACAAAAAATGGAACACACCAGCAGTGTGTGAGGAGACCTGAAAGTGGCACATGGCAGAGTGTGGCGATGGAGACAGCAGCAATGGGAGGCCGTACAGGGACCCATGAGACACTGTGGACCTGGCAGCAGCATGAGGAGGCGGTACAGGGGCCCATGGCAGATTTACGGGGCCTGGCAGCAGCAATGGGAGTCCCATAATCTGCCAGCACCCTATGACAAAAAATGGAACACACCACAGTGTGAGGAGACCTGAAAGTGGCACATGTTTGGGGCATGATTCATGGCGTATTTAGTCAGTTATGTCAGGAACTGGTGGTTTGAAATCCAGACTAATCCACGCCTGATTCATTTTCACAAACGTGAGTCTCTCTCCACACTTTGGGTGGACAGGTCGTGTCCCTCCGTGGAGTTACAATACCACCTCCTGCCGCACTAAACACGCGCTCAGATGCCACGCTACTGGCCGGGCATGACAGCCTTTCAAGGGCAAATTCAGCTAGTTGGGGCCAAAGGTCAAGTTTTCGTTGCCCAGTAGTCAAGGGGATTGTCTACCACGGTTGGCAGGGTGCTGTCCAAATAGGCCCAAGCCTGTTGTTTGAGGTCCTGCTCCAGGTCCACCTGATGCTGCTCCAGCTGCTGCTGCTGCTGCGTGGCCTGGTTAGTAGTTTCCTCACTGCGCTGGTGAAGAAAGCTACTCATCATCGACTGCAGACTGAGGCAGCCGCTGCTGTGGAGCTGCCACTGCTCCTACCACCACCCCACCCCTCCACCTGCTGCCATGGCAGCGGAACGCAAGCGCACAGGGCCCACAGTGTCTGAGGATGGACGTTTGGCGCACAAAGGCAGAGACCAACTGACTACATAGGTGGTTTTTATAGTACGTTATTTTGGCCTCCCTCTCAGCAGGTGTGAAAAAAAGGCCACCATTTTTGAACGGTAGCGAGGGTCCCAACAAGGTGGACAGCCAAAAGTCATCCCTCTGTCTGATGGTTATTATTCGGCTGTCGCTACGCAAGCAATGCGAGCATGCTATGGGCCATTTGTGCCAAGGAATGCGAGGGGACCCCTGCCTCCATCTCCACAGCATACTGCCACGGTGCGTCTGGGTCCTCTGTCTCCTCCTCCTCCTCCTCTATCAGATGCTCCTGCTCCTCCACTCCTGTCCGCTGAGTGGAAAAACCACCCATTTCACTCAATAATTCCTGAGCACAAAATGTCCTCCTCTACCTCCTCCTCTTCTTCCTGTCCTGCCCCCACAGGGGTCATGTGGCGTTGAGATCTGTGCGCCACGTCTACCGCACCCTGACCAGCCATTGTTAACAGCATTTGTTCCAGGACGTGCAACAGAGGAATGACGTCGTTCATCCCATAGTCCTGCCGCCGACTCACGAATAGCGTGGCCTCCTCAAAGGGCCTGAGCAAGCGGCAGGTGTCACGCATGAGCTGCCAATGGCTGACATTTAAGTTACACAGGGGAGTACCTTTATCCGCTTGTAACATCAGGAAATCGGTGATGGCCTTTCGCTGTTCGTAAAGGCGGTCTAAACATGTGTAGGGTTGAATTCCACCTTGTTGCAACGTCGCAGATCAGGCGATGCTGTGGAATTCCGTTCTGCCGCTGCAGCTCAAGGAGGGTGTGCTTTGCGGTGTAGGAATGGCTGAAATGCATGCAAAGTTTACGTGACATTTTAAGGATGTCTTGCAGTGGGATGGTGGATTTTAGGAACCGCTTGACAACCAGATTGAACACGTGAGCCATGCATGGCGCATGGCACAACCTTCCTTGACGCAGAGCAGACACCATGTTCTTTCCGTTGTCGGTCAACATGGTTCCGATTTTCAGTTTGCGCGGAGACAGCCATCTGTCGATTTCTCTGTTCATTACACTCAGAAGTTCCTCCCCTGTGTGACTACGTTCGCCAAGGCATACCAGGTGCAGCACAGCGTGACACCGTTGCGCCCTGCACATGTGATATGCCGGTCGGGTAATGGACTTTAGGGCTGAGGACACGGCCGGAAGAAGAGGTGGTAGAGGCGGACATCTTTTGTGGACCAAGGACGTGCAAACGTGGAGGCAAAAGCGGCGTGACCTGTCCAAGTTGCTGGTGCGGCTGTGCCGGCACCACGTTCACCCAGATTGGGCCGTAAATGACATGTACTGTCCCTGACCGTAGTTACAGCTCCACACGTCGGCGCTGCCGTGCACTTTGGCAGAGACCGACATGCTCAAAGACTGGCCCACCATCTCTTCTACATGTGAATGCAGGGCTGGCACTGCCTTTTTGGCGAAGAAATGACGGCTTGGCACTCTCCACCGCGGCGCGGCACAAGCCATCATTTCTCGAAAATGTGCTGAGTCCACCACTTGGAAAGGGAGGGACTGCAGCACCAGCAACTTGGACAGGAGGACGTTCAGCTTTTGCACCGTCGGGTGCGTGCTCGCAAACTGTTGTCTCTTGGAAACGGATTCCAAGAAAGACTGCTGACGGAATCCGTGAAGAGGAGTAGCAGGATAGGAAGGAGCATCTGAACAGAGCGGAAGATGCCAACGAGCGACAACTACCCCTCAGCAGAGGTGTTGGAGCCTTGACTGGCTGATAGAGGGCGATTGACGTCGGGTGACGGAGCAAGTAACGGAGCGGGTGATGGAGCGGGGGCTGGGGCAGGCAGAACTGCCGTATCTTTATCACGGTTTTCCCAGGCCACCAAATGGCGACGCTGCATATGCTGCCGCAACGCTGTAGTCCCAACATGGGCCCCCCTGGCCACGCTTGACTTTCTGGCCACATAGTCGACATACGGCTACGTTTACTTCCTCGGGCGGCTTGACGAAAAATTGCCACACCGCCGAGTAGGAAACTTTGCCCCCGATACTCCTCACTGGCTGAACTGCTACTTCCTCCGTGCACACCGGCACCACTACTTGCCGTGGTGGTAGGCTGCAGTGGTGCTGGTGCTCTACTCCGTGGCCGTTTGCCTCCACTGACACTGCTGCGACCCTGCTGCCTCCTGGGCAACCCCACCGACTGTTTTGCTCGCTGCCAAGCTGCCACCCTCTTCTCCTGATGATGCGGAAGCAATAGCCTGATGACGACGAGGCTGCCAAGTGCGATCAGCCTCATCATCATCAATTAGGGTCTCCGCCTCACTACTAGCCCCCCTCGGCTGCGTGTGGGTCAGGAGACAGACCTGTCTCTAGACCGGCTACCGAGCCACTCTCCTCGCCACTACTTCTTCGCCTGGCTGCTGAAGAGCGGATGTCCTCCCCCCATTCCTGACCGCCCTCTGTTAGCTCTTCCTCACTGTACAGTGGGGCTGAGCCCACAGCATGCAATACTTCGCTTGGTGAGGGAACACCAAAGGACAGGGGCAGTAGAGGACACGTGATTTCAGTGGCTTGCTCCCGGGCCATGCCAACTAACGGTTGTGTCTGACGTACCCCACCGACCGTTGGCTTGTAGGTGTCAGAGGTGACCTGGGAAGAGGAAGACGACCGAGCCAACCAATCGATGACGGCAGGGATGTCGGTGGAGACACGACCGCTGGATGACATACCGGGAGCAATGGCCTCTGGCTGCGACTAGTGCTGCCTCGACCCCTTCCTCTGCTGCACGTCTGCTCGCTCCTAAAACATTGCCTCCTCTGCCACTCCTCTGCATGTTGTCTGACATACTCTTTAATTCAACGATTATGTGTCCCTGAGTAACAATTCTGTGTCTGTCCCTGAGTAACAATTCTGTGTCCCTCAGTAACATTTCTGTGTCCCTCAGTAACAATTCTGTGTCCCTCAGTAACAATTCTGTGTCCCTGAGTAACAATTCTGTGTCCCTGAGTAACAGTTCTGTGTCCCTGAGTAACAATTCTGTGTCCCTGAGTAACAATTCTGTGTCCCTCAGTAACAATTCTGTGTCTGTCCCTGAGTAACAATTCTGTGTCTGTCCCTGAGTAACAATTCTTTGTGTCTGTCCCTGAGTAACAATTCTGTGTCCCTGAGTAACAATTCTGTGTCCCTGAGTAACAATTCTGTGTCTGTCCCTGAGTAACAATTCTGTGTCCCTGAGTAACAATTCTGTGTCCCTCAGTAACAATTCTGTGTCCCTCAGTAACAATTCTGTGTCTGTCCCTGAGTAACAATTCTGTGTCTGTCCCTGAGTAACAATTCTGTGTCCCTCAGTAACAATTCTGTGTCCCTCAGTAACAATTCTGTGTCCCTCAGTAACAATTCTGTGTCTGTCCCTGAGTAACAATTCTGTGTCCCTCAGTAACAATTCTGTGTCCCTCAGTAACAATTCTGTGTCCCTGAGTAACAATTCTGTGTCCCTCAGTAACAATTCTGTGTCTGTCCTGAGTAACAATTCTGTGTCCCTGAGTAACAATTCTGTGTCCCTCAGTAACAATTCTGTGTCCCTCAGTAACAATTCTGTGTCTGTCCCTGAGTAACAATTCTGTGTCTGTCCCTGAGTAACAATTCTGTGTCCCTCAGTAACAATTCTGTGTCCCTCAGTAACAATTCTGTGTCTGTCCCTGAGTAACAATTCTGTGTCCCTCAGTAACAATTCTGTAT